TTATCAACATCTTCCCCACAAAGAAACTACAGGTCCACATGGCTTTGCTGTGAATTCTATTAAGCATTTAAGGGAAACGTAATATCAGCTTTACAAGAAAATGCTTTTAGAAAATAGAGGAGGAGGAGAAATTCCCCAATTCTTTTTATGAGAACAGCATAACCTCATAACCAAAAAACAGACAGACATTATAAGGAAAGAAAATTATAGATAAATATCAAATACAGATATATAAAAATACTATATCCAAATATGGTTGATCCCAGTAATAATAACATTATTCCCAAGAACAAAGGTTGATTTAGTATTCCAAGTCAATATAACTTGCCACTTTAACAAAAGAAAAGATTTTTAAAAATAGATGAAGAAAAAGCATTTGACAAGATTCAGCACCTATTCCTGCTGAAAAGTCTCAAGAAACTAAGACTAAAAGTGACTATTCCCATCTGATGCATGGAATATATGAAAATATCTACCATTAACAACATACTTCATAATGAAATGGAGAACGCCCCCACCATGATCAGAAACAAGGCAACTACATCTGTTCTCACCACTTCTGTTAAACATCTTACCAGAAGTTCTAGCCAGTTCAATAAAGCAAGAAAAATAAAACAAAATGCATTAATATTTGAAAAGAAGAAGCAAACATATCTTTACTCATAAAGAATATAAGAGATTATGTAGAAAACCCAAAAAAAATCCATAATCTACAGAACTAATAAATGAATTTATCTGGTTTTTAGATACCAAGTCAATATTAAAAGTCAAATATATTTCTATATATTAGCAGAAAAACAATTATTAACTGAAAATTTAAACAGCAATCCCTTCTCTTTTTTTAAGAAAGAAAGAGAGTGTGAGCAGGGGAGAGGGGCACAGGAAAGAGAGAGAGAATCTTAAGCAGGTCCCATGCTCAGAGTGGAGCTCAACGCATGACCTGAACCAAAATCAAGAGTTGGACATTCAACCAACTAAACTACTCAGGCGCCCCTAAAGCAATCCCATTAAAAAAAAACACACACCAAAAATACAAAATACTTAGAAATAAACTTAATAAAAGACAAATAATACCTCTACTCTGCAGGCTGAAAATTAATGAATGAATGAATAACTAAATGAATGAAAAGCTATACCATGTTCATGAATCAGAGACTCATTATTAAGGTACCCATTCTCCCTAAACTGGTCTATCCTACTCTCCATTGCAACAGACATTTTTTTGGTAGACATTTTTGGTAAGTTGTATAAAGTTTTTATGGAGATGCAAAGGAACTAGATTGGTCAAAGTAGTCTTTAAAAGAAGAAATTACAACTACTTTCCATTTCATTCCCACTAGAACAGCTACAATTTAAAAATTCTAACACATCATATATTGGCAAGAATGAGGAGCAACTGGAACACTTTGCTTACAGGACTGTAAAACGTTAAAACCTCTTTGGAAAACTATTTGGCTATTTCTTAGGAAGTTAAACAACCTAATTAAAAATGAGCATACGTCTTGAACAGACACTTCACAGAAGAAGCTATAAGAATGGCTGGTAAGTACATCAGATAGACATACAAAAAGATTCTCAACATCATTAGTCAACAGAGAAGCGCAAACTACAATCACAACAAGAGAGCATTTCAGACCCAATAGAATGGCTAAAATGAAAAAGACTGACACCAAATGTTAACAACAATGTAGAGCAATTGGAACTGGTGGGAAACAGTTCAGCTCTTTCCTATAAAGCTAAATGTATAAAATGACCTGGCAATTCCACTTGCAGGGACTTACCCAAGGGAAATTAAGACATAGATCCACATATGTATGTCTTAAAATTAAGACATAAGAATGTTCACAGAAGTGTTTTTCTTAAAGCCAAAAACTAGAAATAACCCAAAGATCTATCCACAGGACAATGCATAAATAAAATCGTGGTTATTTATACAATAGAATAACACCCAGCAATAAAAATGAGTAAACTACTGATACACATATCACAATATGAATAAATCTCAAAAACATTATAATAATTAAAAGAAATCACACACAAGAGAATATATTACATGGTTCCATTTATATGAAGTTCAAGAACAAGTACTTGAATAACTGATCTATGATGATAGAAACCAGCACAGTGGTTGCTAAGAGGTAGGAACCTTCCAGGCAGTGATGGAAACATCCACATGCATCAGACTCATCAAAGCTTACATTTAAAGAGTGGTGCATTTCAGGGGCACCTGGGTGGCTCAGTTGGTTAAGAATCTGACTTTGGCTCAGGTCTTGATCTCATGCTTTGTGAGTCTGAGCCCCACACTGGGCTCTGCACTGACAGCATGGAGTCTGCTTGGGATTCTTTCTCTCCCTCTCTCTGTCCGCTCGTGCTCGCTCACTCTCTCTCTCTCTCTCAAAATAAATAAAAATAAAACTTAAAAAAAAGTGGTACATTTCAGAGTATGTACATTTTATCTCAGAAAAAAAAAAGATGTTTACAGTAATGTTATCAATAATTTAAAACTTGGGAGCAACTTAAATACCTTATAGTAGGGGTTCAGTTAATAAAATATATACCCAAATTTCACAGCCACTAATAATGTGCTGTGGAATGCTATCTATCGACACAGAGAAACATTCATGGAAACTTATGTGTGAAAAAGAAGTTATCAAAAGCGTCCAACCGACATGAAAGCACAGGAAAAAAAAAGTCTGGAAGCTTTTCACCAAAGTGAGGTTCAAGGTTACCTTGAGAGGCGTGATTCTGGGTATTTTTATCTTGTCTACACCAAACGTGTGCTTGCTTTTGTAATAAGGAGAAAGCATTTCTAGATCTACACCTATAGTTACAGATACCTAGACATGGCTAATTCTCCTTAGCTGTGCTCTTTAAAGTCACCATCGTTCTGAATTAGCAAATGCGAACCATTGCGCAATCCTAGGGCAAATAAGGGCTTAGGTTTCTCCCAGCGTCTGGTCACACTTTGTCAACTTGCTTTAAGAGTGCTGGAAGAACCGAATGGCCGCCTGCGCCTCACCTGGCAGCTCTGTGTGGGACCCCTCCTGGTCCCTGTCCCACGGGTCTCTTCCCTTGGAGGATGTGAATCTGCACCTTTCGCTGTAATAAACCATCAGTTGTGAGTGCAACAGCTTTTCGGCTCTGAGTCCTCCCAGTAGATTATCAGACCTAAGGGTGGTCTGGGCCCCCTCCCCCTATCTGTGTGTATATCAGTTTCTCAAATCTCCTTTTGAATCTCTTTTGTTGTTCTCATGGTTACCTCAATGAGTTCCGTCAAACACATGCTCATGACCTATTTCGGACTCAGACACCCTGAGGCTTAGACTTCATTTACTAGTTGATTCCTTTAGTAAAGAGAATACGAAGAGAGATGAGAACACACATGCTTAAGTACTACAGTGGTTTCCAGCAGAGGAGGGAGGGACCTTGTTCGAGCCCGGCTCATTACCCTTAGAAGAAACACAGTCTGCAGGGTGGCGAGCGGCAGTCAGGGGAGGCAGACACGGAAACACACGATTAGAGTCAGCAAAGGCAACGACGGAGGCCAGGGGGGCTCGGAGGCTCTGGGAGCTTAAAGAAGGGCCCAGAAGCATTCCCAATGCTGAGCAGAGGCCTCTAAAGATAAGCAGAGAGACGGACCTACTCAGTACTTCCCTGTATGAGTCCAACATTGCTCAGTTTATTGATCACTGAAAACTCAGTCAGTTACTTCAGGGTAAATCAATCACTTCCCTAGAAACCCCTGCCTCCCCAGCCCCTTGCAGAATCCAGGCAGCATGACTGGAGTGTCTCTTCCCCATGGCCGTGACACTGACAGGAAAGGTAGACCCAAATCCTGGCTCTGAGGGCCTCCGACTCAACCGGGCACCTGATGTGAACGGTGGTCTTTCATATCAAGTACGCGGTCCAGACACCCCCACTTCCACCTCGGGGAGTCTGGCCTCCCCTCACCCCTCAGCCCCCTCACGGTCTCTTCCGAGGAAAGACCCATGGGCAGTTCTATGCTCCCCCAAGTGTGAGCCAGGTCCCCTCCCAGGATCAGATGCCTTGTAAGTCAGGAAGGGCAGTAGAGCTGGCTTTGGGCCACGGGCCAGCTGAGGCATCATCATCATTATTATTACTGCTACTTCTCTTACGTTATTATTTGCGACCCAAAGAATTTTAGGCGTTTACAGTAAGAGCATATACCTAACATATCATATGTTATCATAACCTTATTATCACCTAACTTATAAAAGCATATACGTAAAACAAAAAAATCAGTAAGTTGGGTAATAAAAAGAGGAGAGAATAATTTTAACAGAAAGTCAAAGTTGTAGAAAGCCACCGTTACCAAATGCAAAACGGGTCCCTGGGCTTCCAGACTGACCGGCTAACATGGGAACAAGGTGCGCTGCAAACCTGTCGGTTGGTGGGGCAGGACCCCGCTTCCTTGGCCCTGAGCGCGGCGGGGGTTTGCTGTCGTCCTTCCCTGCCCCACCTAAGTGCTGCCATCTGGCCCCCTCGGGTGGCAGAGGCAGCCTGGGACCTAGCCTGGGACCCGGTCCAAGGGCTCAGAAGGAAGGCCCCAGCTCTGGGCCCTCTCCACCCACCCTCCCTCAGTGGCGGGAGGTGGGGGGTGGGGGAGACAGAAAGGCAGGACAATCGATCTGCTGCCCACCAGGTCTGTTTGCCTTATTCTACAACAGACATGGCTCCAAGGCTGGGGAACTCTCAGCTGTACCTGCTCAGAGTCCCGGTGGTCGGCTCTGCCTGTCCCCCATTCCTGTGTGGGTGGGACCCAGAGCAGAAGAAAGAAGCTGGAAATCAAATCCCCTCCCCCAGGCTATAGAGCTCCATCCTGCACCCAACCGGGGCACACAGGGACCCCATCTCAGTGCCCACCGGCAGGGCACCCAGAGACTCCACAGCCCAGCCCAGCCAGTGCCCCGTCCCCCTGCCCCCAGTGCCCCCCAGCCATTCAGCCTTGACCCCTACCCCCCACACCCTGGCAGACTCACCCTCATCACAGTTGCTCCCGGTAAAGCCTGGGCAGCACCTCCACTCCAGTGCCGTCACCGTGCGGTAGGACACTCGGTATGTGGGTCTGATCAGAGTCCTGTAACTAACACAAGGGCAGCATCAGGAGAGTGTGAGCGTCCCACCCGTCCACCTGCCCTCCTCGGCTCCGGCCTCAGGGCCCTGGGAGCCGCCTGGGTAATGGAGCCCATCATCCCCACCCTGTGCCCACTGGCTGTGTGGCCCTGGGTAAGTGACCACCCCTCTCTGTGCTGGGTGCATTATAGAGTCCCTCCCAGCTCTGCCTTCCTGCAGGTCTCCAAGCGTGGCCACCTAGAGTGGGAAAATGTCAGCCATGGACTGAGCTGTGTTCCCAGAGCCGAAGCCCCACCCACCCCACCGCATGACTGTATTTGCATATAAAGTCTTTGGGAGGTAATTACAGTTAAATGAGGTCATTAGGATGGGGCCCTAATTCATCAGAACTGGTGGCCTAATGAGAAGAGGAGGACAGAGAGAGAGATCTCTGTGCTCGTGAACACACTCAGGCAAGGCCGTGTGAGGACGCGGCGAGAAGGTGGCCATCTGAGAAAACACATTTCTGTTGTTGAAACCACCCGGCCTGTGCTGCTCTGCTGCGGCAGCCTGAGCTAAGACACCGACCGAGATCATGAACAAGGGAAAGAAAAACATCATCAGAACGTGCACAGCTTCTAACCACCCAAAAGTCACTGAATTCCAACGCTTTTTTCCAGTCGTTTCTTTGGTTGATTTATCCAACGAATACATGTGAGCGCCAACTACACAAGAGTCCTGTGGTCACAGACCGATCAAACTGAGTCCCAGCCTCGAGGAAATCACAGCCCAGCGGACGAAACACATGTCAATGAAAACCTGCGATCCAGTTGTGGGGCCCTCGCAGTCCTAAAAACCTCCAGCAAAGTGCTGTGGGTTCACACACCTACAGTTGTGAACTTTTTCTTGCAAATAAGCTTGATACTGTTTTGCAAAACTCGGAGACATAAAAGATATGAACAAAGGCTGTCTTCAAAAAGCAAGGAACAGGGGCGCCTGGCTGGCTCAGTTGGTTAAGGGTTCAACTCTTGATTTCAGCTCAGGTCATGATCTCACGGTTCATGAGTTCAAGCCCCACGTCAGGCTCTGCACTGATGGTCCAGAACCTGCTTGGGATTCTCTGTCTCCCTCCTTCTCTGTCTGCCTCTCCCCCACTCGCTGTCTCTCAAAACTAAATAACACTGAAAAAAATGTCTCCAGACATTGCCAAATGTTCTTTAGTGGGGAAGGGGAGAAGTCTATTCTTTCATCTGTTCTTTTAAAAAGTTAATGCCAGGGGCACCTGGGTAGCTCAGTCGGTTAAGCGTCCGACTCTTGATTTTGGCTCAGATCGTGATCTCACAGTTCATGCGAGAGCTGAGCGTGGAGCCTGCTTAAGATTCTCTTTCTCTCCCTCTCTCTTTGCCCCTTCCCCTCTCTCAAAATAAATAAATAAACTTAAAAAAAGAACAAGAAAAATAATTTTTGTAGCTGTATGTGGTGACAGATGTTCGCTAGAATTATCGTGGTGATCATTTTGCAACATACACAAATATCAAATCAAATACTATACACCTGAAACTAACACAATATGGCACACACACCCCAATTTCACAAACGGGATAAATTTGGCTTTACTATTCGACTTCTATGCATCATCATAACTTTGCCACTTGATCTTGTTTGCACAACTTCCTCTTGAAAACAGAGCTACATGACTTCACAAAATCTGAATCTGAGGATACCAAGTGACTTAATCGGTGAATGGGAAAATTATGAATTAATTGCTAGCAGCAGGCGTGACGTTTCGAGATGCCCCGTTGACAGGAAAACACACGAGTCACGTCTCAAATTTCAGAAATACTGCACTAAGTCTGAACAATCCTGTTACACTAATTTCTCTTTAAAACAACAACAACAACAACAACAATTCCTCTCGCTCATGTTTCACAAACATTCTGGCAAGCCAGCTTCCCGCTGGAGACGGAAGGGGTGAGGCTGTGTGCAGCCAGGGGCAGAAGCTTCGATGTGGGGCCAGGAGTCTGCACACTGGGAGCAGGACGGCAGATCCAGACCTCTGGGCTCACAACTGCCTCCTGGAAACACTGCCACATGGGGGTGGTGGCTGTAGGTTATAATAAACACACACAGGCACACACACACACCCTCTCTCTCACATGCACACGCACTCACATGCTTTCAAACACTCAACACTCCCCTGCACTCGTTCCCACGCTCACACCCTCACATCGCCTTCCTGCCGTGCCTCTCCCAGCTTGATGCTTGGCCCAGCCAGGAGAGGGAGGAAGCTTGAATTTAGGTAAAAGATGCCAGTTTTTAAATTAATTCCTGGAACAAGACTGGTGCTCCTGCTGAGAGGGACCCGCAGAGCTCTGGAAACCCCCCCGCCCTGCTCCCCGGGGCAGACGTGCAGGGCAGGGAAAGGGTCAAGTTACTTGCTGCCTGCATCCAGCCAAGTGCAGCGGATGCCCCAAACAGGGTGCTTCCCATAACCTCAGCGCCATGGATGGGGTAGATGGAGCCCTGGGCAGTGGGGACACAAGACCCGGGCTTCGGGCTCCGACCCCCAACTCATGATACGGAGTTGCACACAGTCCTTATGAGAACATCGCGGAGACCAGGATGCGGGGCTCTATGGGAGGGTGCACATGCAACGCGCCCAGGGCAGGAAGGGTGCACAGACAGACTCTGTGCACATCTGACCTCATTTCTACTGGCCCACGCCCTTCGGCCTTCCCCTCTGCGGTCAGGAGAGCCCTGCTTAGCCATGGGTGCCGGCCCTTGCCCTGTGGTGTAAATATACACAACGGAATACTATTCCATCCTCCAGCCTGTGAGCCATCCAAATGCCCCAGGCATCCCTCAGTCCATGCCTCGAATGAAGATGATGATGATGATAAAACAAGAATAAATCTCATAAGAGCTTGGAGTGTTCGCCACGCGCCAGTCACTGCTCTGAGTGTTTTACGTTTGCTAGCTCATAACGATTCTAACGGGTGGATACTAATACTAATCCTAATTTACAGAGGAGGAAACTGAGGCACAGAGAAGTTAAGTAACTTTCTCAAGGTCACACTGCTACAAGGCCATGCAACTAGGATCCAAACCCAGGCAGAATCAGCAGAACCCACCAATACTAATTCGTGTTCGTTCAAGGGAACATTGTTCCTCCCTCAATCTGCACCAGATCCTGATCTCAGGCTCTGAACCAGAGCGAAAGCTCGGCCCCTCGAGATGGTGTCTTTCTGCCCTCCCCACTCAGACCAGAAGGAACCAGACGGCCTGTGAAGTCCAGGAGCACCAGTAGGTGGCGCCGCTTCACCAGCCCAGAGGGCCAGGGCTCAGCTTGGCAGCCCCCTGGGGTCCCACCTGAATGTCCCAGGTAGCAGGCAGTGTTTGCAGCCTGGCCCCAGGCTGGGCTTCACCCTCCTATGCTTCATGAAGTACCCCCAGTCCTTCCGCTGGGGTCCACTCTGCAAACCCAGTGATCTTTCTAAAACGCAGATCCAATTTTGTGACTGCCCTCTCTCAAAACTTCCATGGCTCCCACAGACTAAGCTCTTTAAGCTGCCTACCTTGTATGCTCCCTTCTTCCTGCCACCACCAGCCAAGGCTCCTCCCACCATTGCACAACTTCCTCTTCCTGCCTCTGGGCCTTTGCACATGCGGGCTCCTCTACCTACCTGCCCTTCCTTCTTTACTCTGCCTGAGATAAATTCCCAAGAACTTTCAGGGTATGCCTCAAATGTCCTGTCCTCCTCTGTGAAACACCCACTCCTGGCCAGCGTCCACAGGCTCCCTCCTGAGACCTCCCACAGCAACCTGTTCAGAGATTGGTTTGAACCCGACACTCCTCCGTGCACTCAGCAGGTACATGCTGAGAGCCTGCCATGTGCCAGACAATGGGAGTGCGAGCACGAAGAAGGCAGGCATGGCTCCTCTCTGCCACGTAACCACCACACACGTGACCCTACAACCACGGGCAGCGCTAAGGGCTTGGAAACGAAGCAGTGAGTTCATGCCTTACATTAGAATGGAATTTTTTATTAAAGTATAATTCACATGCAGTCAAATAGATAAATCTAGCTTTTAGCTTAATAACGTTTTATAATATATTTATTTATTTGAGAGAGAGAGAGAGTACAAGCAGGGGAGAAAGGTAGAAGGAAAGAGAGAATCTTAAGTAGACTCCATGCCCAGTGTGGAGCCCAAATCTGGGCTCAATCCTGCAAGCCAGGGTTCACGACCTGAGCCAAAATCAAAAGTCAGATGCTTAACCGACTGAGCCCCCCAGGCGCCCCCTATGATCTCTTGTCTTATTGATAGTAACCATCTTAACAGGTGTGAGGTGAAATCTCAGTGTGGCTTCGATTTGCGCTTCCCTTTATCAGTTATTTATTTTATTTTTCTTCTTAAAATTTTTTTGGTTTATTTTTGAAAGGGGGGAGGGGCAGAGAGAGAGGGAGACACAGAATCTGAAGCAGGCTCCAGGCTCTGAGCTGTCAGCACAGAGCCCAATGCGGGGCTCGAACTCACCAACCCTGAGATTATGACCTGAGCAGAAGTCGGACGCCCAACTGACTGAGCCCCCCAGGCGCCTCTATCAGTTATTTATTGATGTGACTGTCGTAGATGAAGCAGATGAGGTTGTGTTTGGGAGGGCTTCAGGGACTGGACGGGCAAGTGAAAAGGAATAGCCTCACGACCATGACTATACTTATAAACAGTGGCTGCATTAGTCAGGGCTCTCCAGAGGGCTGAACCTCTGGACTACATGGAGATCTGTAGAAAGAGATTTATCTATAAGAATTGGCTCATGCAGTGATGGAGGCTGAGCAGTCCCAACATCTGCCATCTGCAAGCTGCGGGCCCAGCAGAGCATGTGGTATGGCTCCCAGGGAGGCCCAGGGGACTGATGGGGTAAGTCCTAGTTCAAGTACCGAGATTCAAGAACCAGGAGCACTGAAGTGCAAGGGCAGGAGTGGATGGATGTCCCCACTCCAGAAGAGAGTAAATGGGCCCCTCTGCTAC